ATTGTCACTTTGTGAGAGAGAAAGTGATAAGTGGAATGATAACCACATCTCATGTGAGCTCAGGAAATCAGTGGGCAGATCTCTTTACAAAGGGATTGTCTCGGGGCAGAGTAGATTATATTTGTGACAAGCTGGGACTATATGACATATACTCTCCAGCTTGAGGGGGAGTGTTAGAAACACAAATCAGGGGTATTTTGATCATTTGGGTTTCTATTTGAGAGTGAAAGGTCTATTTTATTTAAGTTTAAGTTATGTGTCCCATCACTTATGAGGGACAATATGGTCTTTCTTGTAACTATGTTATTGGAGATAAATACAAGTGGATCGGATAGAGGTGGACTGATTTTTCCTAATCTGGCCGAACCCTTCTTCTCCTCCTTCTCTTCTTCTTCTTTCTCTTCTTCTCTACTTTAACCTAGAATTGAATAGGGATTTTACAGTGATAACAGTTTTTTTTTTTTGATAAAAAAAACTGTTACCATTTACTTATCTCTTGTACTTTTACTGCATATATTTGGGAATGGTTTCTCTCTCTGTTTGGATGTAGGTGGAATCCTCCAGTTGATGTGCAAAGCCTTTTTCACTCCTACATTCTTCCGGTAGCCAAATAAGAGGGGAAGACTAATATGGAGATGCACTAAAGTGGCAATTTTATGGACAATATGGGAAGAAAGAAACTCAAGAATATTCTTGGAGAAGGAAAGAAGCAAGGAAGGCTTGATTGAAACAATAATGATTAGGGTGGCTCATTGGATAAAGTCTCTAGAAGTCTTTTCTAATGTTACTACAGATGACATTCTTAGAAAATGGAAGTGGAGGTTTCTGCCCCATACATGTCTTACTACTCATCCTTGGTATCCACCAGAAACAGGATCTATCAAACTTCGATGGTAATAGCATGGGAAACCCAGGACCATCAGGCCTAGTGGGGGAGGGAGACCCTCTCAGAGCAGAGGTTTTGGCAATGGAAGGAGTTCAAAGGGCAAGGTCTTTGAACATTAGGAAGCTAATAGTGGAAGTGGATTCACAGCTGCTTGTAAGCTGGCTTCATAGTGATGAAATGAAAATGTGGATCTACAACAATGAGAAGAAAAAAATTCAGATGGCTAACAAAGGACATGAAAGTATCCTTCAGCTGGTGTAAGCATAGTGCTRATTCCTTTGCTGATATGCTAGCCAAGCTGGCTTCATAATTTTTAGGAAAGGATGCTTCTAAGGGGAGAGACAAGTTGCTTTATCTCTCATTGTCTTTCACTTTGTATTTTGGCTCATTGTACTATTCCATCCTTCTAATTTAAATGAAAGTTACAGTTATTGATAAAAAAAATACACATGGCATCCTCTTTCTACCTCTTGCACATGAAATGCAGGTTGTACACTATGCAAAGATAGTAACCATGTGAAAGCCTCCATCCAGGAGGTAAAGGATTACCTCAAATGCCTCTCAAAGGAACTGCTCCAGCCTGATTTCTGATCATGGAATCACCCAAAAAAAAAAAAAGAAAGAAAGATTCCACTGTAAATCTGCTGCACATGAAACACAGCTTATCAAATGGTATCCTCTCAGTTTTAGATGGCTGATGGTCAAAACGCTGTGCAAAGATAGTAACCGTGTGAAAGCCCCCATCTAGGAGGTAGAGGATCACCTCAAATGGCTCTCAAAGGAACCACTCCAACCTGATTTCTGATAATGGAATCATAAAAATAAAAGATTTCACCTAGCATTATCTGAATCCAAGCTGATCCTCATTATCTCTAGCTTAGAGAACAAATTATTACTCTTCTGTTTCTCTATCTAGAAGCGACCTTCAAAGTATTGGGTTCCATACCACCTGTCCTCCCTTTTGAAAATTTCTCCCTACCATAAATAATATAATCAATTTCCTGATCAAAAAAAGAAATAATATAATCAATTTCCTGCAGGTTCACAACTTAAGTGCTGCATATATCATGAAATGTGATGATGACACCTTTGTTAGGGTGGATACTGTATTGAAAGAAATTAAGGGCATCTCTCCCAAGAGGTCTCTGTATATGGGTAATCTCAACCTCTTGCACAGGCCCCTCAGAAGTGGAAAATGGGCAGTCACATATGAGGTATGTTGTCAAGATCCATTTGTTAACAAATTGCACAACAGGACATCTTAGTTTAAATTGCTAATTTGAGAATTTATCAACGATATTATTTGTCTCGAGACATTATTTCTACTACTCAGCAAAGCTTTCTGAGCAAAGAGGATCTTCATTAGATTTAGGTGGAATACTTTATCTGATGCATTCTTTAATGTGACAGGAATGGCCAGAAGAAATATACCCTCCTTATGCCAACGGACCTGGATACATTATTTCGGTTGACATTGCCAAATTTATCATTGCTCAACATGCCAATCATAGCCTAAGGGTTTGTCCAAGCGAGAAATCTATTGTTTTCTTGTATTCTTCTTTTGCATCTATCATCCTTTCAACCTGGTAGTCAAATGACCAGATAATCCTTTATTTCATTTTGCAGCTATTTAAGATGGAGGATGTGAGCATGGGAATGTGGGTTGAGCAGTTCAACACTACAAACTTTGTCCAATACTCCCATAATTGGAAGTTTTGTCAATATGGGTGTATGGAAAATTACTATACTGCACATTATCAGTCCCCAAGGCAGATGCTCTGTTTATGGGACAAGTTGGCAAGGGGCCGGGCTCATTGCTGTAATTTTAGATGACAACATGCAGCTATTATTACTGAAGAGGTTTTAGAAACCTTCACTTTATCCTTCATTACTTTCCCTCAAATTTTGCATGCAAATCACTTCTTCCGAGCATTGTAACTTTTCATGCAATTTTGGTCTGTTTCTGAGTTTTACCAATTGATGATACATCATTTACTTGGAAACAACAATGTATTTGGTTGTAATGGGTTATGGCTGGATCCCTGCTTGTGGCCCAATTGTATCTGAGGCCAAGTTGTAAAAGTCTGTTATATATGTACTTAGGTTAGGCAGTTCAGAATTTAAGATTTTGATCATACTGGGCACGATATCTTACTAGAATCACTTAAAATATCATTCTGCTATTACTTATACTTTGTATCGATTACTGAAGCTTCTCACATAAGCTAGTGCAGATCACATGAAAAGTCTCAGACAGTTTTAAGTCGTCCATGTTCAGCTCTTATTGCCTCCAAGTTAAAAGCAATTGTTCTTGTCTAATTCCTTAGCCGGTAAGAGCTGAGGCATGTATTCTCCAAGTACAACAATTTGTTTCCCTGTCTGCAGCATGTGCAAATAGGAAGCTCTCTTTAATTGGAATTTCTCAGTTACAAGCTGGATTGGTTGACATTGTTAAAACGTGGGGGTGTGGGACTGTGGATTCACCGGTCTTCCTGAAGGCTTGGGACCCAATGGATTTGCCATTTGTCATGTGGACAGTTCCATCACTCCCTACTTGTCATATTCCTGTATTGTTCTCTTTTATCATAATGTACTTGAATTTTCATTTGGTTTGCAGTTTAAATCTGAACGGATATGAATTTTGCATCCATTTGTAATTAAGATTTGTACTCTTATTTGATACACTACAAATACATACAAAATAATAAAAAATACAAGGTTTTGCATTCTATATATTTGTATTTGTACTAAATGAGTGCAATTACAAATATGTACAGCACAAAGACTTGTATTTTGTATTTCTAAACCTGTATTTGCATTGTACATATTTATATTTACTCTCTTTCCAATTTGAATCTTATTTGTAAGGGAAAATTCCTGATTAGTGCCCTGAACTTTAGGGTTGTGTCAAGTCAGTCCCCTAATAGTATCCCAAACTTTTAGAATGTGTCTAATAGGTTCTTGTTGTTAACAGTCCTTGGTTAATTATGGAATATGTCAAAACTACACATTAAGTGTCATCTAGTTTTCTTTATTTCCCACTTCCACATAAACTAATTTAAACAAAGCTCTTTTCATTTACATCTTGATTCCAGTAAACTATGTTTTCCGGCTTGTGAAATGATATATTATTGGTTATCAAGGATGAATATATGGTTAATGAAGTCAAATCCAAGCAATAAATTATGAAATTAGCAAAGGAGAAACTAAGTTATACCATTGTGATGCAACATTAATAATCAACAGAACTTTTCCCTTGTAAAGGCTAAAATTGATATCATTTCCCCTTGCATCTTAGCTGAGATAGGAAGGTTGCAGCAACTATCCAAGATGGATTTTAGAATATACAGAAAACCATAGCAATGTCTGTTTCAGCCGTCGCTGAAACTTGGTTAGTTCCCGGCACTGTTGTTGGTTTGTTCAAATCTGTTCTTGGCACCGTCATTAGTTCCCAGCATCACCATAGCAATGGAGCAGCTCTTTAGTTGCAAGGTAAAAGACAATGAACAATGTCTTCTTTCAAGGGTAGTTTTGATATTTTAAAAGTTTAAAGTGGACATGTCATCATGTGATACAGAGAACTGACGGACCGTTAACGACAGGGATCTATTAAACACACTTTGAAAGTTTGGGGGTACTGCATAGACACATTTTGAAGTTCAGGGACTGACTTGACACAATCCCTAAAGTTCAGGGTACCAATCAGGAATTTCCCCTAGAAATTATACCATTTATGGATAACAATATTAATTAACCAGATTTTTTGTTTCAATTTTGAAAACAAATAACACATACATAATCAAGAATGTGTTTTTTTTTTTATATTTATTTTGAGAAACAATCTATTTTATGTGTTTTTTTATATTTATTTTTTATTTGATGCACGATGAATCAATAGGACCTTTCAACAGTTTGATTTGTCCAATTTATCTCTCTACGTGTCTCTCTAAATTTGGAGAAGCTGCTCGCAAAGGAGATCTACACGACTCCTTCAGTCGTTTGGATATAATAAACAAACTTGCTAACAAGACAAGGGCCTCTTATTAGTTAGGCTCTGTTGGTTTGCAGTTATAATATACAATCTGCCATGGTGATCAGATTTGTATGGATTTCTTTATAACATATTGTCTCTATTTGTTTGAGAGCAAAAGTTGCACTGGTTCAAATGGATGGGAGTGCAAATGAGTTAAATGCAAAGTCTGGTTTWGTTCTGTTTGAAGTTCTATTTTGTTTTATTTGTTTGCGAGAAGTATAATGATGTTTTCCCACTAAAATAAAGTTTTTTTTTTATTTTTTGATAAAAAAGAACGTTGNATCAATGTTTGGGTCCCACACCATTCAAGGAAGCCCAACTGGGCAGTAGATAGGAWGTTTAAGTGAGCACTTGACCTAAATGGACCTAAAGCCCATTTTGAACTGGGCTGTTTAATTAGTTAAATATGGGGCGAATTCTGGGATGGATTAGTAGATAGGATAGGGTCTTAACCCTATCAACTCAGAGAGTCCAGATCTAAATACGAGTCAGATCTGGAAACCTCCTAATAAGATTAGGAGAAGGCTGATCTAATCTGCAGATAAGATAAGGGTTTATCCTTAATACCTAAAGGGATGTCTAATCCAAATGAGATTTGGATCAACAACTCCTAATTAGAGTAGGAGCTAATCTTTTAGGGTAACAAAAAAGAAGGAAGGGGCGACAACCTTTACATCAATCGAAAGATCATCAGATCACTACAAGTCTTTAGAGCTGAAATAACAGAAGAGAGATTTTAGCATATTTGCGAAAATACTCTCTTGCCGCCTTCCTGCCACCGCCTCACCTGCCAGTTCGACCTCCAGTTCAGCGGGAGAAGTCAAAATTCGATCTTAACATCAATTCTTTGTGAAATGACTGATAAGAAGCTGTGCTCATGTGCCATCCTGCAATTTTTGCGAAGGACTAGGTTCTTGGAGAAGAATTCTGTTGATTCTGCTCCATCCTGCACTACGCCATGTTTTGTGGGAGCAGTCTTTGGATCCTTCCTTGGGCGTGAACACCTCCATTGGGAGATATTACTTCTCTATTTCAGGTATAATTCTCTCCTTCTGTTTTTGTTCAGATCTGGTTCAGTTTATGGTTCAAGATTGATCCTTGAAAATATGATTTTTTAAATAGGGAATGCGATTCCTAGTTGAAAGGGAGAGAAAAATTTTTGAAATTCGCCCACCTTATTCCGCAAGATTTGGGTGTCCATATGATGGATATTTAATCCCTACATTTGGAGCGCAACCATGCTCAAAGAAGCGCATCCCCTCCCATGGTCCAACTCGYAGAGGTGAACAACCAGCCTACGAAGGAGCCAGTCTTCACCTAGGACATCATGTACGAGCTCCCCCCAGCTGGCTGGCGAGCCCCACAATTCGAAAGGTACAACAGATCCACAGATCCCAATGACCACCTTGAATCCTACTGCGTCAACCTAAAGATCGACCTCCAGACTACAAYTGTTCACCGACCTTAGAGCAATGGCTAGACCGAAGTGACCAACCAAACCCTATTGCACAGCCTCAAGACCAGACTTGACCAGGTCAAGGGAAGGTGGGTCGAGGAGTTGACGAGCATTCTCTGGGCGTAAGGACGACACCACGGACAACTACTTGAGAGACATCCTTCAGCCTTTCATATGGGCCAAAGCCATGATCCCCGTAGAAATAGGCTCACCAACTCTCTGGACCAAGTTCTACGATAAGGAGTAGAATAACAAAGACCTCTATGCAAAGATCAACTTGGTGGAGGAAGCGCAAGACCGAGTGTACATCAGGATGGCAACACAACAACAACGAATGGCTAAGTACTACGACTCCAAAGTCCAAAGAAGGGAGTTCAAAATAGGTGRCCTTGTTCTTTGCAAAGTCATAGTACCCGCGCTAGGAGAAGGAAAACTCAGATTGAACTGGGAAGGACCATACGAAGTCACCAAAGTGCTCGGACTTGGTACCTATAGACTAGAAGACCTCGACAGGAAGCTCGTACCGAGGAGTTGGAGAATGTATTGTTAGTAGTCCACATTAACAAAAGCAACTTTTTCTACAATCAGTTGTCCAGCACACACTGTACGACACACAACACGACACACATTATTCGCATAGTGCACAACACGTTACACAAAACAACACATGTYGTGCAACGAGTACGGCCCAAGTGACCCCTAATGATTGGACCGTTCGCGCACTGACTCGGTTTACCCACAACGGTCAGAGCCTGCAACGCATAGCCACATGCTAGCTTAGCAGCGCATAGCCGACCAAGCAAGCTGATTCGGTCAATGACTGCTAGAGCCCAAAGCGGGGAAGGACGCCCCCGCCTCTTAAGGCTAGAGGGCAGCCATCGAACTCCGCACACTTTGCTGAWTGATTGTCAGACCAGAGCTAGCCGAGGAATGCCTAACCCAGTAAGAGCATAAGGCTCCTTGAAACCAGATGCCAACTGAGCATCCCCAAATGATGAGAGCTCGGAAGCATCTCGGCCAGCAAAAGCCAAAGACTGAAGACCTTAGCCAAGAGAAGACCGAGGCCCACGACTAAGTTCAACGAAAATATCAACTAGAAAAGCTTGACATCCATTAATCATAAAAGCTCGGAAATATGCAAGGGATACAGCTCGGAATACAAAAGTGTCTATTCATTAATAAAAAATATTTACAAGTGAAAAAGGCTCGACATTCTGAGCCGTATACATCAAAACAAAAACAAAAAAAGGGGGATAAACACCAGAAGAACAACATGGAAGCAGCAACGGTAGTAGGCAGACACCTTAATACTCGGTAGGGCGCTCCTTGGCCTCCTCTGGCACTTCGACGGCAGTAGCATCGCCCTTGGCAAACATTTCAGGATCATAAGGGCATAAGCCCTACACGACTTCTATGGCATCTGGGAGCCGGCGCATAACCTTATCTCGACAGAGATAGAACCCCGCCTCCTAGGAGCATGAGGCAAAATTGTCCATCTCATTCCAGTACTCCTTCGAGCCCTTGAATTGGGCAATTGCTTCCTCTCCTACCTGGGCCACCCTTTCGTCGGCCTCCTTCCTCAGCTTCTCTCGTGCCTCCTTCCACTTGTCAATACCACACTTTAGCTCAGCAACCTCGGTCTCTAGCTCGGCCACTCGAGCCCTCGAGCGCTCCACCTCGGTCTACCCCGACTCATAGAGGTGTCGCACTACACCAAGGCGCTCAATCAGTACAATCACCGAGCAAGCACTCTACAAGAAATGAAAGAAGTGTCAGTACAATGGAAATAACCGACCAAAGTGAATGTAACCAAGGAAGGAAGACTTACCGACGCCATCTGAAGCACGAGCGCACTCTCTAGAGCCCCACTCATTGATCCGGTGAGTTCATGCCTAATAAGTGGGGTTAACAAGCCATGAAGCAGCTCCTCAGGAACACTTGCCATTTCAAGTCCATCCTCGGGCCAAACGTTCCACTGCGGCATGTAAATGACTGGATTGTTGACCTCCAATGTGTTGTCTCACAAGGAAGGGGGTAAACAGCCTGAGTGCCCTCATCTGGGTCAACCACCACGACCTCTTCCTTGGCTTGCCTT